AGAGTTTTATGTCAGCTTGCGTGGAGAAAACCCTTTGCAGATAAAATCACTCTGGAGAATTCTTTAGACATGCATACCAATGCAACCCCCTCCCCAATTCCACAATGAAATTCTTTCCCAGGTAACAGGTAAATGGGCCAGCTTGCACTCAGGGGCCAGCTACACAGAAAGACAATCCCTGGGAACTGAGAAAGTTCACACCACACCAAGTGCCTGGGCTGGTCTTTTCCAACAACATTCCTCACCATTCAAGTTTTGTCATATTAAATCTTCACCATTTAGCCAAACTAGATCAAGTTGGTACCAGATGACACCATAAATAGGGAGACCATTTTTACTGTGTTAAAAAAGAAAAGGAAAAAAATAGGAATTCTGCATCCAGGAATATCACAAGTGATATTTGGAAGCCAATAGGTATTATTTTAGTGGTTTCAAGATAACCTATATTTGTGGACCACAGTCTCAAACTCCCATGGCAAGGGGGTAATGGGCTATACTGAGATGCTGCACATTTAGTATTGCTACCAGCCTTACCAACCATCAAGATGAACAGTCTTCCATCCACAAAGATGCTATCGCCATTACACATACAGAGAGCTAACAAAAAGCTCTTGTGTCTTGCTAATAGTTCTATCTCTGACTGAGATCATCTTGGTGTCTGGAGGTCCTTGCTTTCAGCTTTGCTTTCTTTCTTGACTTCCCCAGCCAATCTCATTTGTTTCATCCTTACACAACAGCTTCAGAAAACTCCTATCTCTTGAATCATGAGATTCAATTGGACAAGCCCTAGCCCATCAATAGAGATGTGATTGAACCCAGGCCTCCTTGCATGCTATCCCCAAGTGTGTGTGACAGAGGCCTGTGTCTCTCACAAATGTGCCCAGTGAGGTAAGAGTAAGCATTTACTCTAGGTAAGATTCCATTGTTCTTTCTTCTGCTAATCTTCTGTTGCCTGGTTAGCCCATTCTTCTTTTCACCTATAGTTTTTGTTTTGTGTTGTTTTTCAAGACAGGGTTTCTCTGTGTAGCTTTGGAGCCTATCTTGGCACTCGCTCTGTAGACTATGCTGGTCTTGAACTCAGAGATCCTCCTGCCTCTGCCTCCCAAGTGCTGGGATTAAAGGTGTGTGCCACCAACACCCAACCAACCTATAATTTATCCCAAAATTTCAACTTGATCTTGATGCATGTTTTGGAGGAATTTTCTAGAAATATCACATACTACCTTCAAATAGCACAAAGTCTTCTTGGCTGGACATAATGGTCCTTGCCTTTAATCCCAGCACTAGGGAAGCAGAGGACAGCGGATTTCAATTAATTCAAGGCTAACCTGGTCTACATATCTAGTTCCAGGTTAGCAAGAGCTACAGAGTGAGACCATCTCAGAGGGGTGGAGGGTAGAGGGAGAGATTTGACATCTGATAAACTGACCAGCAGGATGATAAAGTATTTGGCCTAAACATTTATAGAAAATGTCCACTGATATTTTCAAGGCTTACTAGTAGAAATATTTCCTCTGTCTAAAATTGGACTTTACTAAAGCTTTTGGATTGGGCTGTTTTATATTCTGTTGCTATATGCAGAGGAAGAAAGGAATTAACTTTTCTGTCAAGGCAGGATCTCTCTACATAGCCCTGACTTGTTGTGTAGATAAGGCAGGCCCCAAACTCATAGAGACTTACTTACTCCTACCTCCAGAGTACTGGGATTAAAGGTGGGTGCCATCAAGATGTATTACTATTATCACTTTATTTATGTGCACGTGTGCATGGCTCAGCAGTTAAGAGCACTTCCTGCTCATCCAGAGGACCCCAGTTCGATTCCCACCACCCACATGGCAGCTAGTAACTAACTCCAAGATCTGATACCCTGTGAAAGTTTGAATGGAATTGGGCCCCATAATCTCATAAGGGGTGGCACTATTAGGAGGTGTGTTGAAGTGGGTGTGCCCTTGTTGGGGGAAGTGTGTCACTGTGGGGGAGGGCTCTGAGGTTTCCTATGCCCAGAATACTGCCCAGTGTCTCAGTCGACTTCCAGTTGCCTGCAATGTGTATGACTCTCAGCTGCCAGCACCACATCTGCCCTCCATGATGTCATGTTTCCTGTCATGACGATAACAGACTGAACCTCTGGACACCCCAATGAATGTTTTCTTTATAAGAGTTGCCGTGGACATGGTGTCTCTTCACAGCAATAGAAACCATAACTAACACAACCCTCCCACAGATATAAGTGCAAGCAAAACACCAATGCATATAAAATAAGCACGTCTTTAATCCCAGCACTTGAGAGTCAGGGGTAAGTGAATCCGTATGAGTTCGAGGCCAGCCTGGCTTACAGAGTAAGTTCCAGGACTGTTACATAGAGAAACCCTGTCTCAGAAAAACAAAGAGCCGTATGTGCTGTCAGTCACTGAGCCATCTCAAGCTCATTCTCTGTATCGTTACAGACACATGACCAGAAGGCTCCTGTTCCCACTGCCATGACTAACTTCCCCTAAAACTCTGCCCAAATAAACCCTTCCCTCCCTCCTCCGTTAAGCTGCTTTGGCCAGACATTTGTTACATCACAGCAGTCAGAAATGCAACCAATACAGTATCAATCCCCAGGCAAAGTTAGAACCAACGACATCACTCCCTTAGCTAAAATTTCAGCACATGGGAGGCTGAAGCAGGACGATCTCAAGTTCTAGGTTAGCCTAACTAGACCCTGACTCAACAAAACAACAACAAAAAAAACCCTACAAAACAAAACATCAAAATATTACCCCTTTAAGTAAAAGATTGGAATAGAAAAAAAAAAAAGAAAACCTATAAGCACAGAGAAATGACAATTATTTTTTTCCTTTATGTTTGGAATCAGAGCTATGATTTTAATGTGTTCCTTAAGATTTCATGTGTTGCAAATATAATCTCATTATCTATAAGTTAATGTATGAAAGAGAATAATGTATCTTTGGGAGAGAGTTAGAGTCAGATGAGGCCAGGAGGTCCTGCCTTGGTGCCATGTTCTTGGACTTCCCAGCTTCCGGGACCAGGAGACAGATGAATTCCCATTCTTCATCAGGTACTCAGTCCTAACGGCTTCATTATACCAACAGAAAATCGATCAAGACACACAAGTTCCTAAGTCACAAAAACAAAATATCTTCTCTGGGAAGTTTTCATTATAGCCCAATGGAGTGCTGGGGTTAGTTTACTGCAGGCTGCAAGAAGTAAAAATAGAAATTTCTCCTGCCTTCTCTTTCAGTACTGTCATGCTAGAGCCTTGACATCAACAAGGATGTACATATCTCTGTCACAGAAAGTGGTGTTTGCAGCCTATCAGGGCTCTGCTTCAAGAGTTAAAGGCCATTGCGTTGGCCTATCTGTCGGGAAAAGGGACCAGTCAAAGAAACACACCCTGAGCAGAGCCAAAGACACACACTTTGGCCCTGCAACCAGAACTAAAGAAATGTACCCTGACCCTGAAACCAGTGCCAAAAGAACACACTTTGTCCCTGGAATCTGAGTCAGTGAAAGAAATACACCCTGGCCCTAAAACTAGAGCCAAAAGGCTAAAATAAAAGGACCAGAGAAAGAAACACACTTTGGCCCTGAAACCGGAGCCAAATCTGACTCTAATCCTACGTAAAAAAAGTAACCAATCCCGGAGCAGAGCTCTAGCCAATCTGAGCTCAGCACTAAAATCTGACCAATCCCCACCCTGAAAGCCCTATATAAATCCTGTGTCTGTTCAGCTTGTGTCTGCTCACCCTACCTGGCTGTCCTCTGCCAGAGTGACAGAGGACTCCTGGATTCTTCCCTCTCAATAAACCCCATCAATGAGCTTTGGACGAAGATCTTCTTTTATGGTGGCGGTAGAGCAGAGGCGATCCTGGGCAGAGCAGAGCAAGCAGACAGAGCAGAGCAAGCAGGGCTGTAACATTTTTACCAGGGAAACCTACCCTTGGCAGAGCGGAGTTATTACACTACGCTCTTGGGAGCAGAGCAGAACTGTAGCAACTTTGCCCGAGAAACCTCCTGCTGAGCAAAACTGCTACACTGGGCAAACATCCCCAGCTGGAAGACCCTGTCCTGTTGAAGCGGATACACTGGGGAAGCCTTTCCCTGAGGCAAGGCTGTATAAGCTGCTAAATTTACTACAATCTATGGTAGTCCTTGGCTCCCTAGTTTCAGGATACCTTTCCATCTGAGCTGTGTAACACACAGTATTCTGTGACTCCCGAGTGCCAGAATACCTGACCCATCCCCATCCGACCAAAATGCCAACACTATCTTGACATGGTTTGGAAATTAGAATTTATACTAGCTTTTAATCCCAGCACTCCAGGGGCAGAGGCAGGAGGATGTCTACATATCAAGTTCCAGAGCTACATAAAGAGATCCTATCTCAAACAAAACAAAATAAAGCAAGAAAGCAAGCAAACAAACAAACAGCACATATACTGTATTTCTATCACTATCATCTCCTGGGAGCACCAGAACTAAGAAAAACAGCCCATGCCCTAAACCCAGACCTTATCGTTCCCCTAAGCAGTTATAACATGAGAAGATAACTCATTACCAGCAAGGACTAGCAGACATAGGCAGACCTGACTTGGGGTCCCAAGGGCCTCACTACACAGATGATTTGGCTAGAGACAGAAAATAAACAAAGTTAATACATAGTTACAGATGCAAAGAAAAAAACAAGACATAAAAAAGCATAGTCCCAGAATTTGGGAGGCAGAGTAGCAAATGCATCTGTGAATTTGAGGCTAACTTAGTCTCCACAGTGAGTTCTAGGACATCCAGGGCTACATAGAAAGCCTCTGTCTTTAAAACGAAACAAACAAACAAACAAACAAAAACAAAAAAAGAAAGAAGAAAAAAGTAAAAGAATGTATATGGTTTTAAAATCAAACTAAAGATGTTAAGTTTTCAAGGGACCAAACTGATTTGGAAAATGATGGTTTATTAAAATGTGCATGATCTTTCCCTGGATTTTATCGTGTCGCTAGGGATGGCCCCTGGAGACGGTGCCGAAGGACCTGTGGCATCTGCGGGCTTGTTTGCTGTATTCATTAGTCAAGACTATAGACCAGTTTGAATATGACAGGTGCGACAATTGTGAAGCATACCTACAAATGAAGGGTAACAGAGAGATGGTGTATGACCGCACCAGCTTTTCGTTTGACGGGATCATTGCGATGATGAGTCCAGAAGACAGCTGGGTCTCCAAGTGGCAGCGAGTCAGTAACGGTAAGCCAGGCGTATATGCTGTGTCAGTCACTGGTCGCCTGCCTCATGGAATTGTTCGGGAGCTGAAAAGTGGAGGAGTGGCCTACAAATCCAGAGACACAGCAATAAAGACCTAGCTAGGTGCAGCTCACAGTGTCTTGCTTTCTCCTGCAGGCCTGTGTTTATTTTCTTGTGGAGCTAAAGAGGCAGACCTCCAAGCACTCCCCGCCCTCCTCTCAGGATCAGCAGACTCCCGTGAAAGCAGCACATCGGCCCTTGAGTCATTCTGCTTTCTCTGGTGACTGGTGAAGTGTGAGTGTCTGGGCTGGTGGACTCAAGAGACTGTATGAAGGAGAGCGTGAGATGCTGGTTTTCATGCCTCTGCCCAATGCTGTGCACTCCTTATTCTCAGTTCACCCCTTAACTTTACTCACTCTCTCCGTCATCCCCTTAACTCTCATTGTGACACTAGGGACATCACTGTTGGCTTTCCGGACCTACAGAGCCCACCTTTCTCCAACGGGCTGTATCAGGAGGAGGCACCATGCTCAAGCTTACAGCTGCCTCACAGAGAGTACTTCCTGCAGCAGCCCAGGTGGGAGATAGATGGATTCATGAATGGGCATGTTAGATCCAACCAGCTCAAGGGACGGAAGAGTGTGGCATTAGTGTTATACTGTCATGTGCGGACCACAGTCACGTCTGTGAATGCGGCTTCTGTTTGTGGTCTGATTCTGAGAGCCAAGCTATTCCCGGGAATGTGACGGCTGTTTTTCCAACAGCAGGGTGTTGCCAATCACTGTCAAATAAAGCAGTCTCAAGAGCGCTGTTCCAAATGACCCGATGTGCAACTGTCTGGGCTGTGGGCTGGAATATTAAATGACATTGTGTTTCCGAGGCTTGCCGGGCTGCTTGACTCACAGCTGCGGCAAAAACGTTTTAACGAAATTAAAATCTCCGTGGGGGAGGGGAAAGCAGGGACTAAAGGTTGGACTGAGGGCTGAGATGAGAACACTGGCGAGGCAGGGGACATTGGTGCAGCCGATTCCTATATTTAATTACCGTGGGGAAGGCTAAGACAGAGAGTCTACTGTATAATTTAAAACAGTCTAAATCATCTAAAATTTGCTACCCACTGAGTTGGGGGGAGGAGAATTTTCTGGAAAATACATACATTAAATCCAAAGGGGCCATGGGCCAAAGAAATAAAAAGCTATCTCTTCAGAGAGCAAATTGAAATAGATCAATTACCTCTTGTCATTTCCTATTTCCAAAGCGAATGAATTACTTTTTTAAAAAAGCCTGGCCCTGTGCACTGCTGGGTTTGGCTGAAGAAGAGGATTCCTGATGTATATTTCATTCAAATGAAATGATATGGATGCTGATGAAATAATGTTTCTTTAGGGAGCTGGTACACAGAGTTCTTGTCACTGTAGAGAAACCAAAACTAGAAAAGTCTGTGTGGGACACAAGCGATTTTATCTTTACCCCAAAGAGCATCTTTTGGGATCATTTTGACCAAAGGAAAGATGGCTATAAAAACACTAAAACATAAGGTGACATTCTTTGACTTGCTCCATTAAGAAAGGATGACATGAAAGGTCCTGTTGTTCTCAGCATAGCAGCCCGAGGGTACAAAGATGAATAAGACAAGATCTCTGCCTTCAAACAGTGCACAAAGCACAAGGATATCGCAACACTCAAAATGAGGGCATTAAAAAATTTCAGGAAGCCCAAAGCAAGCTGGGAGGAATTAGCACCACGTAGTGTGATCAGGAACCCATCGCTCCAAAAGTTTCGCTGCACTCCCTCACCATTCACCTCCCAGCTGCTACCATCCACTCATCGTCCTGTTCAAAAAGTATATCTGCTGGGGAGGAGAGGCCAGGGAAGAGAGAAAAGTGAGATTCCAGCCAAAGAAACAGCACCATCTATGAAGACACAGAAGAGATGGGACACTGGTATCCTGGAGGAGGGACAGATGGAGTGACCATCAGGGCACAAGTGGCCTAAACAGGTAGGTGAGCTTATACTCACCGTGTGATGGTTTTAAGACACCTCATCCTGGTAGTAACACAGCAGCCAGCCTAGATCTGTGACTCTGGATTCCTGCCCATCAAGTCATGTATGTCCATCAAGTCATATATGTTGATGTCTTTCCATGGGTAACAAATACGAGGACTGCCATCCTCAAGAAAGTATGCCGAAAAGCAGAAAGCATGATTCAGATCCACTCCAAGCTACTGCAAACCATATTCCTCGTGAACCTTGTTACTTTAGCTATTAAGTCACCTGTGACACACACCGCTACTTACAGATGGAGCAAGAGCAATCATGTGTCCCCCACAGATGCCTGGAGATACAGGGCAGCAACACTGAAGACTGGGAGAGCTTAAGACAGCTCCCCACACACACTCACACACATACGCACTCACACACATACACCCACACACATACGCACTCACACACATACACCCACACACATACACACTCACACACATACACCCACACATATAAGCACTCATACGCATACTCACACACATACTCACTCACACACATACTCACTCACACACATACACACTCACACACTCACACACATACACATTCACACAATACTCACACACATACACACACTCTCACACACATACACACTCACACACACTCACATACATACACACTCACACACATACTCACACATACACACACACTCTCACAACACACTCTCACACACATACACTCTCACACATACACACACATACACACGCACACACATACACACTCACGAATACTCACACACATACATGCTCACACAATACTCGCTCACACACACACTCTCACAACACACTCTCACACACATACACACTCACACACACACTCTCACACACTCTCACACATACACACACATACACACTCACATACATACACATTCACACACATATACACTCGCACACATACTCACACTCACACACATACGTACACTTATACACACTCACACAAACTCATATACACATACTCACAGACATACATTCATGTGCACACATTGTCTTTCTCTCTCTCACATGTGCACACATGCATGCACACACATATACACACTCTCACACATACTGACACATCACACGCATACATACACTCACATACACACTCACACAAACTTGTATATACATACTCAGAGAAACACATTCATATGCACACATTCTCTGTCTCCCTCAAATGCGCGTGTGTGCACGCGCACACACACACACACACACACACAAATTTCAACCAGAGTAGCTGTGCTGCTATCTGATTATTTCTGTCCTTTCACTGCGATTTCTTGTAGCAATGCACCCCACTGCTTAAAAATTGCTTGCAGTGGATTCAAAGATGGAAGAGATGGGAAAGCAGATAAATCAGGAGGTAATTGTAACAGCCTGGGTGAGAAATAATAAAATTAGCTCAGCCATATCTAGTTGAATGAATGAATTAAGGTTCATAAACCAGTGTGGATAGCATTACAGTTGGAAATAGGTATCAGGCAGTCATGCTGCTGACTTGCTTTGGAATGAATTGAAATAACAATAAACACATAGGCGGGAGTGGTGACTCACACCTTTAATCCCAGAACTTCAGAGTTAGAAGGAGGAGCATCTCTGAGCTCAAGGCCAGCCTGGTCTATACAGTGTGTTCCAGGGTTATAACTGGCTTACAAAGGAAAGCGGCTAATTTGGGCTCTGATGTTATAGGGTGCCGTCCTTGGTCCATTGATGCGATTGCTTTGGGTTTGTGGTACACATCAGAGTAGCACATGATGGTGAACCAAGAGACTCACCTCGTGCCTGAGAAATGACAGAAAAAGTGGGGAGGGCCCAGTTTCCATGGTTCCAGTGACCTGAAGTCCTACGAGACTCCACCTCTGGGAAATTCCTACCACTTCCCAATAGGACCATGCTGGAGCCCAAGGCCAGATAGACTTCTGCAGGGGCATTTAAGACCCAAAACTATAGCAACAACTGGGAGCAAGCATTTGCGGAAGTTGATCTATGGCATTAGCATACTACATATTAATCGCTTTGCTTATGAATGAATTAATTCAGCGAGTATTAAGTACTCTCACTTGAGGAGTACACTAGAAGCGGCTGCGAGATCATCCCCAAGGGTCAGCGAGAGGTGGCTTCTAACCAGTGTGGGGGACTGATACAACCTTCTGAGTTGGAGTCCAGCCTCGGGCTGAGGAGGCTTCCTTTCATCAGCAGACGCAAGCCTACCTCCTCCAGGAGATGCCTGGACAGCTGGTGCAGAAGAGGTGACCTTCGAATTGCACCTCTAAAGATGAATCGGATTTAGCAAGATGAATTGGTCCTGGCAGTCCTGCAGATAAGATATTCTGAAAACTCCTCTAGTGACAGAACGACAGAATTAAATATAATAAATATTCTTTGAGAATAAGACTGTGAGATGGGCAGGTACTAGGGGCTCAGAGCCCAAAGCCAGGTTGGGAGGTATATGCAGAGACAGGGGCAGAGTGAGAAGCCCAGGGGCAGGGTGAGAACCCCACTTAAGCCAGAAAGAGGCACTGGGCTGGGTCTCGGGCTTCGTGCATACTAAGCAAGCATTCTGCTACCTAGCTATATTCCCAGTCCTTTTGGAAAAACATATTTTGAGACAAGGTCTCACTATGTTAACCAGGCTGATCCTGAACTTGCTCTTTAGCCCAGACAGAACATAAAGCTGTGATCCTCCTGCCTCAGTGTGCTGAGTAGCTGAGATTACAGGCCAGCACCATCATGTCTTGGTTTAAAGACAGAAATCTTGGTGGGGGGGGCAGTTTGAGACAGGGTTTCTCTGTGTAGCTTTGTAGACCAGGCTGGTCTCGAACACACAGAGCCTGCCTCTGCCTCCGAAGTGCTGGGATTAAAGGAGTGTGCCACCACCGCTTTGCTTAAAGACAGAAATCTTAAAGAAGCATTTTCACTAAGGTGAGCGAAAAGAATTGTGTAAAACTGGAAGATTTTCGTACCTTTCAGTATGCAGATTACATTTTAATAATTGTTTTTTTCTTAGAGCAAGAAATGAGAGCCATACTTCCTGCTGAAGACAGGAAAATTTCTAGGTAAAATATTTTGAAAAGAAAACTATCGGACTGGAGGGATGATAGCCATTAAGAAGTCCTTAATTACATTGTGTAAATATATCATATTTTCTTTATCCATTCTTCAGTTGAGGGACATCTAGGTTGCTTCCAGGTTCTGGCTATTACAAATAATGCTGCTATGAACATAGTTGAAAGATGTCCTTGTTGTATGAAGGTGCATCTTTTGGGTATATGCCTAAGAGTGGAATTGCTGGATTTTGAGGTAGACTGATTCCCATTTTCTTGAGGAATCTCCATACTGATTTCTAAAGTGGCTGTATAAGTTTGCACTCCCACCAGCAGTGGAGGAGTGTTCCCCTTTCTCCACATCTTCTCCAGCATAAACTGTCACTGGGATTATTGATTTCACCCATTCTGACAGAAGCAAGATGGTATCTCAGAGTTGTTTTGATTTACATTTCCCTGATGGCTAAGGATGTTGAGCATTTTCTTAAGTGTCTTTCAGCCATTTGAGATTCCTCTGCTGAGAATTCTCTATTTAGATCTGTACCCCATTTTTTAATTGGATTGTTTGGTGTTTTGGTGGATAGCTTCTTGAGTTTCTTGGTGTATTTTGGAGATCAGCCTTTGTCAGATGTGGGCTGAGGACAGCGTGGTGCTGCCTTGGGGAGTCAGGGATGAAAACAGAAGAGGAAAGGCAAAGGCGCTGTTCTGGGGAGCTCATGTCTGTGGACCAACCCTGATATTAAGCTGTATTCACAATATATGTTTGCTAGCTAGTTCTATGTCAACTCAACACAAGCTAGAGTCATTTAGGTAGTGAGAACCAACCCTAGTTGAGAAAATGCCCCCCACCAGATTGGGCTGTGGACAGTCTCTGGGGCATTTTCTTGACTGATGACTGACATGGGAGGTCCCAGCTCACCCTGGGTAGTGTCACCTCTGGGAAGGTGGGCCTGGATGGTATATAAAAGCAGGCTGAGCAAACCTTGAAGAGCAAGCCAGTAAGCAGTGTTCCTCCATGGCCTCTGCCTCTGTTTCTGCCTCCAAGTTCTGCTGAGCTCTAGTTCCTGCCCTGTCCTCTTTCAGTGATGGAGTGTTACCTGGAAATAGAAGCAAAAACAAACCATTACCTCCTGTGTTGCTGTTGGTCAGGGTATTTTATCCCAGCAATAGAAACTCCAAGACAATACATAACTGAAAGGGCTCAGACTAGCAAACCTCCCTTATATTTTTTAACCTCTGTTTTTATTATATGTGCATGGGTGTTCTACATGCAAACATGTCTGTGAGCCATGTGCATGCAGTGCCCACAGTGGCTAAAAGAAGGCATTGGATGCCCCCAGGAGGACTGTAGTTACAGAGAGCTATGAACTACCATGTTATTGCTGGGAATTGAACCGACGTCCTCTGGAAGACCCTAACCACTGAGCAATCTCTCAAGTCCCTTCAAACCTCCCTTCTTAACCTTTAGACACCAGAAGAAATAAATGCAAAGCTTTCACAGAAGGTATAGATCCACGGTTGGCCTGGGAAAACCGCCACCTCATTTTCCTAGGGTAAATGTCCAGCTAGAGTTAGGAAATAGAGCAGTCTCTCATAAGGACACAGCTAATGGCATTTATGCTCTAAGTGTCCCCAGTTGACCTATCATAGGGCTAAGCCCAGCTGTGAGGATAGAGCCAGGATGGCAGCAATGCCTCAGACATCATGGAAGTCTCTATAAGAGCAAGATAACTCAAGGAATAAACGCATTGACAGCTGTCCTCAGGGACTCCCGGCTACAATTCTCCTCCCCATCATCCCGTCATTTTCTAAAGTTGCTTGACAATGATGCGACAAGCCCTTGACCACTTTACGGAAGTCCCCGTCTTCCCCTTCATGTTCTGTTGTTTGGATCAACTAAGGAAAGAGTTCCTCCCAATCAGAGGCCTGGAAGTGGGTCACATGACCTTAAAAGCAGGCAATGCATAGCATCTTATTCCCCTCGCTCCTGTGTGTCTATGACATTTGTACACTCCATCCTTTGGTCCAGGCAGACTGCCCTGCAATGGTCAACCCTTCCTCAAAACACCATCAATTTTGTAAACTGAAACTCACTGAAAACCTACTTTTATCCTATGTGTAAGTAACAAACACTCATGTTGGGACACATACTATTTAAAATGCTGGATATCTTGCAATTATGAGGTTATAAAGAGTCGATGTACATGCCGTTGACCTGGTCCCTATGACATCTAGCCAGAGCTAGGCCTGCATCCCTGATGCTTTTGTCATCCTGCTCTCTCACACCATCTAATGGCTTCCGGTGGTTTTGGGGTGTAGTTAGGGACTGTATCTGTATGACAGTGAGTACACGGGCAGCCACTTCTCTCTTTAGTTTCAGCTGAAAGCGTGTATAGAAAGGCTGTGCTCGGAGGTTGGGAATAGTAAATGCCATCAAGGTCTATCAACACGAAACTTCACCAAAGAAATGCCCTGCCAACTCTTTCTACCATGACCTAAGCAAACCATGGTAAGAGGGGAGGGGTCTATTTGTTAAGAGAAGCTTTTTCTTGCTAGCCGCTTTGGTTTATCCCCCGCCAGCCACCTGGGCTCTGCCTCATTGTAGCCCCCAAATAAACACACAAGACGCTGTATTAATTATGAAGCTGTTGGCCTTGTTTGTTTCTTACTGGCTAGCTCTGCCTTAAGTAATTACCCCATAATTGTTAATCTAAGTATGTTTCTTACCGGACAATAGTTCCCGGCGTCCTACTCCCATGGCGTCACATGTTGACTCTCTTGTGTTTCCCCTTCCCAGAATCCTCCTCGACTCCTAGTCCCTCCTATCTAGGTTTTCTATTGGCCAGACAGTACTTTATTGACAAATGCACAGGCAAATAACAGGACTTCCCCAACATCTATTCAAGCCTGTTTCTGGATGTTTACACTGTTCAAAATAAACATAGCTCAAGGAGGGACTGGGGGGAGAGGAGAGGGGGAAACCTGCAGCCAGGATGTAAAACAAATAATAATTTATTTAAAAAAAATAAACATAGCTCTGTGAGGAAGAGGAGATATCCAGTAACAAATCTGGGATCCTCACCATTCTTGGGAATCATCAGCTGAGATGTCCCCTGCTTGTCTGAGTGGTCAGTTAGAACCTGATAATTCAAGCAGTGCCCGGAAGTCAGGTTCATCACTTTAATTGGCCCTGTCATTTATGTTGACTCGTGGATTCTATCCTTACGGCTCTACTTAGCCATGACAAAGCCAGTTAGGGCCTCTGATGGTATAAGTGCCATTATATGGGTGGTCTTTCAGAGCACCTGCCATTAGGAGGGATTTGTCAAGAAATGTGACTGTCATCCTAAGTGAATTACTACGACACTGACAATGAAATTTGTTAACCTTTGTTATGATTCAGCTTGGAAGTTTGCCAAGAAGATGGAGTTTTGACACATCTGTCTATCTCTACATTTTCAAGTGTTCATATGACAATTTATCTAAATTGAATCATGATTTGCTAATTGGTACCAAGCTCTTTGGAAATAATTGCATTGTTCTGAAGTCTTTTGAATTGGAGACTAAGTAAAACGTCCCATTGATGCTTTCCTTAAAGTCCTAAGCAAGTGACAAAATCAGGAGACATTTGCCTTTAGTAAATGCCTAGCAGGCCTGGTGGTTTCTTTTTAAATCAAGATATTTTTAGGGGGCTGGAGAGATGGCTCAGAGGTTAAGAGCATTGACTGCTCTTCCAGAAGTCCCGAGTTCAATTCCCAGCAACCACATGGTGGCTCACAACCATCTATAATGAGATCTGGTACTCTCTTCTGGTGTGCAGACATACACGGAGGCAGGATGTTGTATTTATAATAAATAAATAAATCTTGAAAAAAATGTATTTTTAAAAGGTAGGATCAGAAGTCAGTAGGTATATAGCCGGGCAGTGGTGGCACACGCCTTTAATCCCAGCACTTGGGAGGCAGAGGCAGGAAGATCTCTGAGTTCGAGACCAGCCTAGTCTACAAGAGCTAGTTCCAGGAAAACCTCCAAAGCCACAGAGAAATCCTGTCTCAAAAAAAAAAAAAAGAAAGAAAGAAAGAAAGAAAGAAAGAAAGAAAGAAAGAAAGAAAGAAAAAGAAGTCGTTCGGCCCATTAAGTTGCTATAATATTTTTGGGCAGAGTTTGAGTTGAAGGGAGGCCTACAGAGTCAAAAACAACCCAAGGCAACTGTTAATCAACTAGGCTCACAGCTGTAAGGATACAGCCCAGTCTCAATGCTACAACAGCAGAAGCACATTTTTACCCCAGAAAGCCCATTGAGTGTGTTACTGAGCAGTTAACTCAATTATTCGTTTTTTAATTTTTTAACTCAATTATTCTTAAGGAACAGATCCATGAATCTAGCTCGCCATCCTCTAGCCCAACTCCCTTCTTCAGTCATGAGGCTCCAGAGATGCGGGGGGGCGGCATCAGACAGGGAAAACCACTTGAACACAGTCCTCACCTTTAAGTGACAGGTGATTTCTTACCAGAGATGCTATTGGTTAAACTGTGAGACTCTCAGTGTGGCCACTGGAGTCAACTGGTCCTGGCTTCTCATGGGTGTTTCTGAGGTTCTTAACTTCTGTTTGTTTTTGTAGCATTGGTGTATGTGTGTATGCTGGGTATTGAAGCCAGGCCTTTATATATTCACCCTGGAGTATTTAGCCGTGAAAGTTGCAAGCAACATAAACAACAAAGATATTATCTTCCTTGTAATCCGGGGAATGGCTGTGTCACTTGTTACTGTGTTATCTCTTCAGCTCCGTCCATAATTGAAGATGTCTAAGTCAGGATTTCTATTACTGTGAAGAGACACCACAACTATGGCAACTCTTATAAAGGAAAACACTTAATTAGGGTGGATTACAGTTCAGAGGTTCAGTCCATTATCATTGTGGTAGGGCATGGCAGCATGCAGGCAGACATGGTGCTGGAGAAGGAGTTACCAATTCTACATCTTGATCCACAGGCAACAGGAAATGAACTGAGACACTGGGCATAGCTTGAGCATGCCCGCCCCCACTGGGATACAGTTCCTCCAACAAAGTCATACCTCCTAATAATGCCACTCCCTGTGAGCTTATGAGGGCCAGCTGCATTCACACTACCACACAAGGTAAGAAAGATTATTTCATTTGTTATAGGTCGGGGCTCCTGGCATGCCAGCCTGCTTGCTCTTCGTAGGTAGTCTGTGGGCTGCTTCTCTCTCCTTTGCCTCATAAGACTGGAAAGCTCAGGAGGAGGGTTCAGTGCCAGCCAGCCTTCTTTGGCACAAGCTAGACTTGCCACTCCAACCCTTTTGAATGGTTCAGGGTCCCCACCATCACCCCAAAACTAGCATACCAGGCCTCACTGTCTTTTTAGTTCTTACTGCTTTTCATCTGATTTGGGGTGTAGTTTTCACTCAAAAAAGAAAATGTTGATCTTTAAAAACCATCTGGCTCCCCATTAATGAAAATTGATCTGTTTATATGAAATGTTACGGCACACAAACCGTATTCCCACTCGCAATGCTCCAGTCTGCTAGCCCAGGAGTTGAGAATCTCAGCTCCACATGCTAGATCTGGATTTCATCATCATCTCAGCCAGCAGTCAAGACATTGTCTCAGACTGGCTCCCAGGTACTCAAGCCTCGGCCATCGCTGTACACAAATCCAATTGTGAGCTCCGCTGGGTGCCTGTTCTGGCTGGAAGACGCCACCGGACCAGAGCTGCTCTCCCTGAGAGCTTTATTCACAGGGGTGTGGCTTTTGAAGAGACAGATGAGAGGGAGTGGGAAAAGGCAGTTACCAACCTGGATGGAGAGTCTGCTCACAACAAGCAATGGTACCCATGACAGACAGGCACGAGGGGCCCTGAAAGGCAGCAGCTGCGCCGAGTTTATGAGCATCAGGTGGAATTAGGAGGTCTGGTTTCCTGACAGCAGCTTGGGGCTTCTTAGGAGAAACAGTTGGTGGAGAAGCAGATGGGGCTCCTTAGAGCAGAGCACAGGTCTGCGAGCATCTTGGCAGGTGGGGATGGGTGGGGGTGGGGCATGCCTTGGGGATTTCTGAACCTGAGGACCGGGTTGGGGCTGAATAGCTTTGAAGAGAATCAGGAGCTGCTGGACCAGAAATGCTCACTGAGTTACTCTCCTGGCAACTTTTCTCACTGGCTAATCACTTTTCATCCCTGCTCCTTTCTGTTCCCTACTCTTGCATGTCTCCTCTCTTGCTGGTTTAGACTGTGTATCTAGAAGTCACCATTTGTAATAGTGGCTGTCAATAACTAGTATGTTCTGACGCCATCTCTTCTTAGAATACTAATGCACATAAAATAAAAAAATTTTAAAAATGTGGCAAAAGAAAGACACCATACAATAGAGCTTGGGTGCAGGGGAGAAGGGAGGGGGAGACTGGCCTCTGGGGACAGGAGCAACAGAAAAGAAAAGAGAGAGGAGAGAGAGGGGGAAGACAGACAGACAGAGAAGCAGAGAGAGAGAGAGAGACAGAGAGAGAGAGAGCCCTCAGCAGACAGAGGGGAAAAGGGTGAGGGGTGGAGAAGGAAGGAAGAGGGAGGGAGACAGAGAGAGAGAAAGGAAGAAAGGAGCGAAGGAAGGAGAGGGAGAGATGGGAGGTGGGCAGGGCTCTTTCTAAAGGAACACAGCAAATGCGCACAGGTGGTACTCTTAGTGGCTGCAGCTAGGGTGTATCCTGTCAGAACCCCAAGGGCAGACCAGTATAGATGCTTGAGTGCTATCATTAAGAGCAGGGACTCAGAGTGAGAGAGGTGTGCCACGTTTAGGTGCCCTTTAAATTTAGTTTTGTGTCATTCAGTTGGACCACCAGGCTAAGACAGGCCTCAAGATGGCCCACACACGTGAGTTAACCAGACTGAAAGGGACTTCCTGGACGACTGTTTGTGGAAGTACACACCCCTGACATCCTTTCCCTGCTTCATCTGTGGATCTGGGATCCAAACATCAAAGTTTGGTTTTTCTGTAGGGCTGGGGCCATTGCTCAGCAATAGACACTTGCCTAGCGTGCACAAGCCCATAGTTTGATGCGCAGGACCCCATATACACATGTGTGTGTGTAATGTTTAAATATGTGTCCACTAGTCACTCACGGTCTCATGGATAGCTTAGCAGAAACTAGTCACCCTTCCCTGAGTGTGCATTCTTCGTAAAGTGTGGTTCATGGCTTCAGAAGAAATTAAATACAAGTTAGGTTCTGCTCTCATTTCTAAAATGATAAATGTCTGCCACATGTGGGCCAGCAGAAGCCAGAACGGTCCTGATCCCCTGGGCTGGAGTGACAGATGGTTAAAAGCTGCCATATAGGTGCTGGGGATCAAACCTGGGTCCCAAGGAACAGTATCCAGTGCCCTCGACTGCTGAGTCAGCTCTTCAGCCCCAACACTGGTCATTTTCATTAGCTAAACTTCATTTATACTCCCTCGGTTTTTATAATACCGAAGTTGCTTTTTTCTGTTCCAAGGCTATGAAGAAGGTACCACACCTGATCACCGTGTACCATCACTTTGTTAATTAATGATGAAAATATCACACTGATTCGTTTGTACAGAAAACCAAACCAACCTAAATTTAGAGCAAGCCAGAGAGACAGGAAACTTAACATTCCAAGAGCAAACACGATTGCCCCCTAGTGTCCAATGTAGGTAACACCATCCTGAACAGCTCACTGGAGAATGAAGAGGACAATTGGATATTTTGTTTAAAAATGTCAAAATGGGGCGGGCATGGTGACCATACCTTTAGTCCCAGCAT